AAACGAACAATTATTTATTGTGGCATCGTCACAATGCAGGACTGAAATTTTTAATATATTTTTTAATTTATTTAATTTAAAATATGTGCTCTTCACCTCAAATTAGTAGTGTCATGCCTCTGAAAAAAATACAAATCGAATGTCATTTGCATTTGATAGAACTAAAAACAAATTCTTAATTTATTTGATTTAAAATATGTGCTCTTCACCTCAAATTAGTAGTGTCATGCCTCTGTACATCATACTCTTTCTGTTAGGAACGGAGTCATGCCGTCATTTATCCACCTTCTTACAGGGGAAAATATTTGAATCGAAGTAACGTGACTTTTGGTCTGCATCGAAAGCTTTTATATAGTTAATCAGGGTCTTCTACTCATAAGATTTCCATATCTTGTCTCGTCTTTTATCTGTCTAACTCTGTTCTTGAGATTAAGGAAAGACAGACCGACAGACCGCGACAGTGAGAATTTATAGGTTTACAATTTTTCCAAATTGCAGCCCAATAAAGGATGGGAGTAAAACCGATGCTTATCATTAATAACTTAAAATGTAAAAGAGTAACATTCTGATTTATTTGAATTAAAATTATAGTAACATGTTAGAGTTTTGATAATATGTCACACATTATGAGACAATACATCTCATTACTATTAATTAAACGAAACGATGTCCATATAAATTTTCAGTTCACTCTACTAATAGATATTCATGTTTATTGATTCATTCTCTACTCTACTCATTTGAGAATATTTTCATAATGGAATAATTCATAAAAATGTATATTCGAATTTTATTGTTATTATTTTTATATAAACTTTTATATTATTGCTACTGTTATACTTATGTTTCCATTTCATTTCTATTAAACACTTTTATTTAACTTGCTTTGTATTGTTCTCAAATCTTGCAACTGAAATTTCATCCGCTTCTAATCACTATATGAGTATAAGCCTGAAACTTTGAGAACATACCTGTCTTATGACAATGATGTTTCAGGGAGTGGTTTCCACTTCCATCATCCTCCCACCCAAAAACCGATAAACCCCAAGCGTAAAATTTAATCGTGATGTGTGTGCATGAATGTGCTGTAGTGATGTAAAGTATACGGTAGGGTGGCTCCACCTCATCTACCATCATCTCGAAAAACATGGCCATTAAACGCATTTTTAAATTTTTAAAATAATATATTAAACTTATTTTTAAACGGATTTTTAATATAGACCATTAATATTATAAGCTCAATTTTTATTTCTAAATTTTGTATGATATACTTGACTTTTCTATAAAATTTTTTTACTGTTTCCTTAGCTATACAAGACCATTATAAATTTACCATGAGATAAAAATGAAAGAAAAAATTAGCAAGTTTTTTTTTATTAGTTCACTACATTATGAAGGTCCTGTTTTATAATCTTCCAGATGTACAGTACAGACTATTGTCATTCATAATAAATGACAATAATGATTCATCAAATTAATGGATCTTCCTAACCTTAGGCACGACCCCTTTCGTAAATCATTACGATTTCTACGGTTATTCACATGTCATACAATATAAAGGTGAGGCACCATTCCTGTTGATTCTCTTGAGACTATGAGAATCAACGGATCACTTTAAGTACTGACATATCTTTAGCGTCCTCTTTCCTATTTAAGAATTATGGTTAAAATTAAGATATGAACGATTAAAACACTAATATTTTATTTTAATCTTTCATTGATGAAATTAAAATAAAATAATATTGTTTTGAATACAAATTTATTTGCCAGTTTGACAGTTTTCTTATAGACTTTATCGTTTTATTAAGGTAGTTAAAATTAAAGGAAACGATAAATTATTTAATTTTAATTTAATATTTTTTACACACAATTCTTTACTATTCAATGAATAGTAAAGAATATTACTATTCATTCTCTTATAAAGAAAAAATTAAATGTCTTTGTAATTTAATATAAGTAAATTATAATTTGAAAATTTGAATATTTATTCAATCGAATCTGTATTAATAACCTCTTTACTGAAATTCATTTTCGTGTATAGCAACACGGAGAGCATTCTGAGGATTTGGTGATATAGATCAGAATGGGCAGCTTTTTTCTATGTAAGGCCACATTTAAAACTTTAGAAATGACGGAGGCTGCACAAAAGAGAAAAAGAAAAAAATGCGGGTAAATGACAATTTATACATTAACAAAATTCCTTTATTTTAGTAAATCAATTATCTTATCAAATTTTCTTTTAACTAATATAATAATCTTTTCATATGATCGTGTATACACACACATATATAAATATATATATATATATATATATATATATATAATCGTCTCGAAGTTTTACTTGAAGATCTTTATGTTTTGTCTTCGTATAATATGAGGATTATGTACTTTCGTCTATCTCAAGATTCTTCAGTCAAGTATGCTGAAATTTGCATATTATTTAAGACTACTGATTTTTTTCAATGTTTTAGTCTGGAAATGCTGAGAAAAGTAGTGACTTTTTAGAATTAAAAGTCATTTCAATTATTTTTAAATTGGTATTTGATATTTTCAAAATTTAAATCTCCAGATTCAATTTGGTTAAAATTTAAACAATTCTGTGTAAATTCTATAAGAAGATAGTCATTTCCATAGTTTTTTATTTTATAGTTACAGTATACAGTATAATAATAGATTATTTTGATTAAGACCATTTATCACTGAACTAAATTTATAACTATTATATTTTATTGCTTTTTAACTTGGATCAAGTGAAAGACTTAGAAAAATGTTAAAAACATTTTAACATGTTTTTAACATTTTTCTAAGTCTTTCACTTGATCATTCATTAATTGAAATTGCATTCTAAATTCTCGAACAGTATTGTAAATTGTATCTGTATCTACTTTAACCGAGTTTATTTCTGTTTTTTTACTTTCATTACTATTTTCTCTTAAACTTTTGATTTTTTTAAAGACAGTTCTGTTGATATCTGTATTTTCATTTGTTATACTTGAAAGAGATTCTATTATACTAAAATCACTTGTTGATTTCTGGCATCAAATTTTCTAGAGTAATTTGAGAAGTATCCAATCGAATTATTTTCTCCAATATTCTATCTAAACGAGACCTATCTTCCAGTTTCCTGTATTGACACCTGTTTGGCCTTTATCTTTGCACATTTAAGACCTTTGAACTTCAAATTTTCTTTAATTAAGGAAAGAGTGTCATCTGCAAGACTGTCTCCAGGACAAAAATCACCAACAATCGACGTCTGAAGCGTATTTTCAATTTAATATTAAAATATTATAATCTGGTTTCAAATTTCCTTCACTCGCATATATTCATTCGATAAGTAAAATAATAATTTACTGAAATAGTTATTATCGTTGCTTCCAAAGCTTGTTTCTAATAAATACTGTGGACACAATATTTTTTATGTAGTGATTGTATTTTCAATTCAGTTTTTTTAAAGTATTAGAAAACTAATTACTTTTTTACATAAAAATTAAAGCAATGAACTGTCCTTACGTAACTTATGTATTTATCATTTTTTTCGTAATAGCTTCTATCATATCGCTAAGAACATACTGAAACATATTTTACATATTGATAGTAGCAATAAATGAATAAAAATTATTATTATTATAGTCTATCAGATTGAAAAAATACTAAAATAGATATTTAATAAAATATTGAATATTTAATTTCTCATATGTAAAATGTTGATAAAATTATAGCCCATTCTGTATATGATATATTCATATATATATTTATCGAATGTCTAATAGAAAGCAACAATAAATATATTTGATATAGACACACATACACATACACATTTAAAGAGTGTTATCATTTTATATTTCCCTAATACTTTCATATGAAATGTAGTAACTGGAAATAGTTAAAATAGGTTTTATGTTTAAAATTTTAATATTTAATATTATTTCTTTAGCTTTCTTTCAGTTTTATGTTTCTTATATTTTTTTCATTATCATCTCTTATAAAACTGGTAATAATATTTTTATAAATAAAATTATCGTCTATGGAAAGTTTAGTGATGTTATCTGCAGCCTAAAATGTTTATTTTATTAATTATTTGACATGCCAAACTGATATTTTGTTAAGCTATTAAATAATTCAATAAATAAGATTTACAACACATACTTCCTTTCAAGTTTATCTGAACTGATTATGTCAATTCAGAGTAAAATTGAAAGGAATCTCTGTGTTTACTGTTATAATGGCCACTATTTCGTAAATATTCGGCATAATTAGCAACAATAGTTATTGTATGATGTGAATAATATGTAACCCATATTATTTTTAACAAAGATTTTCAATTTTACTTTTAATGTAATAGAAACGCTCTTGTGAACACACACAATTTTGTTTAAAGAATAATATTGAGAAACTGGGTGTAACTTTAATTTCGACACTCAGCAACGTTTACGCAATTTATTTTACTTTTATTATTTTCTGTTGTTTTTTGAGATTCTAAAATACTTTTAAAAATTTCAAAAATTTAATTTGTTAACATTTCCGAAAATACTTTAAATAAAAATTTGGATCAGAATATGATTAAAATATTATACAGTCGAACCTCCAATAACGGCCACCTCTAAACAGCGGCCATTTTTTATTTCCTGTTAGTGGCCGTTGTTCGTAGGTTTGACTGTATTTTTCAAATAATTAATTATTTTCATTAAAATATGTTACGTATGAAAATATTTTCATTCATTAAACATTATTAATAATTTGGTCTATACATAATTAATTTTTCAAGCTCGATTCATTTTTTTTTTTTTTAAATATGCTTTATGCTTAAACGATTTAACTTAAAGAAATTATTATTTATAAAATTATTAATTATTTTAAAAACTTTTGAATATTAAAATGATGTGCCAATGAAAACAATGTTTAGTGCAAAAAATAAAAAATAATAATCTACATAAACACTTTCCTTTAAGCAATCATTAATGTGAGATGGACAGTCTCATATATGTTTATTGACTGCTCAAACTAAATCAATCAGGTAAATAATAATAATAATAATAATAATAATAATCAATGAAAACATTATATCGTAAACACTATAATAAAACTGTGCAATAAAAACAATTACAAACAGAAGATTCGTATACAATATAGTATAAAAACAACTTTGTAGTATTATATATAGTTTTAACAAGAAATCAATGTGAGGTATTCAAATAATATACTATTCGTTAAAATTATTGTAGAAATTAATAGTTTTTCTGAAGCGATAATATTTTGACTCGCACTTCCATCTTGGACCAATGTTTCTCTTAAGATTTTCGAATGTTCTGAAGTTGGATTGACTTCAAAGAAGCATTTATTTTTCTTTTCGTAAGTATAACGAATTTCTGGATAACCAATGAGAGAGGACATCTAGAAAAATATTTCGTAAAAATTCAAACAACGAAAAAATGTAGGTTATATATACAGTAATACCCCGAACTTACGCGATAGGTGGGACCGAGCGATAACCGCGTAAGTCGAATTCGCGTAAGTCTGGGTATAATTTTGCAATCTGTGTAAAATCCAAGTCGGATGTATGTAAGCTAATAAATGTTCTCGTTAATCTTATCTCGTCTTTTGATTCGTTCACGGTTACAAGAAATCACCACATAGAGTCTCTCTCAAGTCTCCGTAGATATAACAAACACAGAAATAAATAACACAAAATAAATTGTAGCTATATGTCGATTCCGCGCGACACGTCCGAACATGTAAGCTGAACAATAGTGTTGGGGGAGTGAGTAATCAAGAGTTTCGTGGCGTTCAAACAAAAGATGAATCGACGAGATTTGAAAATCGCGTAACTCCGGGTTCGCGTAAGTCGGGGTAGCGTAAGTCGAGTTATTACTGTATATAGAACTATAGCACGAAAAAGTAATTTACCTCTTCATATCGACCATCACTGTACATGCAGGAACTGGTATAAGGAGCAAAACGCAAAACATTTTCAACAATATCTACATATTTTGGCGTCCATGGATATAACATTAAATGTTCTAAATAACTATGATTTTGCAGATTCAAAGGTAAACTAATTATGAAAGTTCCCCTAAAAATAGGAAAATTGTTAGATATTATTAAAGAAAAATGATAACTGCCAGTGGAATAAACTTACTGATAAAATTGCCTAATTCCAGTTAAAGCCATTATCATCTGAAAAGATGGTCCAGTTAAAGTTCCAGAAATAGCCACTCGAGGATAATATAGAATGAAAGCGATACACATTTCTTCTTTAGTGCTAAAACCACCCTAGTAAAAGATAAAAATACAAATATAAATTTTAACCATAAAAATATTTAGCAAGATTTAAAATGTAATAATAAAAAATACATAATAAAAGGATTGTTATTATTATTCTTACAAATGTCGTAACTGATCTACCAGTTGAATCATATCGACACTCTACGGTTATTTGATCACCCTAAAATTAAGTATATTATTAATAATTATAATAAAATTATTTATATAACTATTCAAGAAAAATTAATATACTTACCGGCAAGATTTTCACGTTATTGTTTAAAAAACGATATCCCTGTATTAAAGCATTCATCGAATGAGATTAAAAATATATGCAGAGTTAATAAAATTATTTTTAATCGAATTATTTACCTGATAATTAAAATCATAATTATTATCTACTGCTAATGGCGGCAATTCGGTATCATTTCTGAAATGACGAGCTATCAATTTTCTACCTATTTTAAATAATCAAAATAAATATATCATGACTAATAAAGAAATCAGAAATATCAGAAAATTGTACTTAATTATATATAGTAATATTACCTAATAAATGAGCATGAAGAAATACAGCAATAACATGAATTCCCTCCTTTGGCATTACCTACATAAAAAACATAAGAAAAGACAGTGTGTTCAAATAACACTTGAAAATAATTTTGTTTAAGAATTAATTATAGAGTTTGAGTATAATTTCTTAAAAATTTACCGAGCTTAAACATTCTGGATGTCCATGACTAGCAACGATAAAACTCTTTTGTCTGGGCGGTATAATCACGCTCCTAGAAATTTCAGCACCCACCATTAATGTCATCGCGTCATATTTGCGAAGATTCGGCACATAGTATAAACGCATTCCGGAAGAATCTACAATATCTACGATAGCATTCCGTAATTCTTTAGTATACCAAATGTACAGTACAGTACAACAAAGCATCAACAAGTTATTTATATTATTGTAAAAAAATGTCTCTCTATTATAATATTTTAATATAGATGAACTTACTATCCTGAAGAGTTGGATTATCGTAATGTACTTGTAACAGGAAGTAAGGATCTTCGTCTCCTCCGAGAGGTAATCCTGCTTCTTCTGGCATTATCATTGGCTAAAATAGTTTAAATATTATTATTTAATATTTAATGCCAAATTTTACATATATACTCTATAATTTAAGTAATAATAATAATAAGCAAGTAAAATATTTATAATTTATATTACTGTATTTTGGCGTTACGTAAAACTAACATGGCATATAAGTTTGTCTCGTTGTTTGTCTTAAATCACAGATATTATAATATAGTCCTACCTCGCCTCCAATACCCCAGGCTGCATATAAACCTTGACACTGATGAAAAAATCGTGGCATATTACGATGGTAACAATGATGTCCAGCATAATTAAGGTATTTATCTCCCTCATCTGATTTCTTTCCAACACATTGATATAAAACGATGTGGTGGATATATCTTTCGTTACCTTTCTGCAATATAGCTTCAATCTGACATAATGAAGAAAATAAAATATTATAATTCTTCATAATAATTCAGTATTAACATTAAATTTGATCTTACTTTGATAACATGATGCTTTATGTCTAAAGGCGGTGCTTTGTGAAGACTACACCAATAAATAGAATCGAATTCTCGAGTAATTGTAAACTGAAATATTAAACCAATGTTTAATTAAAGCTTACTATTATTTAGTTTTTAGTATATTAATCGAAACTTACATTTGGAGATTTTATATCCCAGTATCGAACATTTTCTTTCGATATATCTTGGCCCGTTTGTGATTTGAGTAGCATAATACTTCGAGAACCTCGGTGAAGAGTACTGTGATATTGAATAGCGTAAAAGGACTCCGGATCATCGTCGTTAAAAGAATATATTAATCGAAAAGTATCATCCTAATATATAAAAATATATTAATTAAAACGTGATGAGTTAATCCAAACGTAACTCTAATTAATCAATAACGGATATCGTTTATATCTGCTTTAAAAGGATACTTGTTAAATTAGTAGATATAACAAATATAAATAGGTTAATATTATATTTTACATTATGTATATAGACTTAGAGAAATAATATAAGTTATTTAAAACATTTTAACGTTAAATACGTTATGAGTAATTTACATTCAGACTTTTGTAAAATATATGAATAAATTCTAAATGTCCACATTTCGGGCAAAAGCCCGGACATTTTATCAGGGATTTCAGACTTTTACAGTAACATATACATAAGTATAAACATTTTAAAAAATAATCTGATATATAGGCCTGATATATAATTTAAAATTAATTTAACAAAATACTTCTATAAAACTGTTTTTAAATATATTTAAGGTCGATATATACAAAATTGATTTAAAATATGTACAAGGTCAATAAGGTTAGAATTATTTATCTTTCCTAATGCGAAACTTTTATATGATATTTATAATTAATAAATAATTAATAATAACAGTATTTAATTGAATTTAAAAAAATATATAATAAATTATTCTACTTGTGTGTTTTCGAAAAAAACTGATTATCCTGTAAAATCATTAAAGCATCTTTATTAAATTATTATTTTTTAATTTATAAAATATGTTTTAATGCACTGCTGAATAATCTTATTAGCAATATTCGACTAGTAAGTAACCAATCAAGAAAGTAAGACTTTATGTTCTGTCTAGTTAAATAATTTTTTTACATAGTATAAACTTCAAGAAAACGTAATCTTTTCTGCATAAAAATAACAAAAAAAATACAATTTCTTAAATCATATATATAAATTTGATTTAAAATCTTATTTAAAATGGACTTTTAAAGGTAACAAATTGTTAGAATATATAAGATGTAAATTATGAATTTTTAAAATTATCTATCCATAAAAATAAGCGTATTTACTTTAAAAGTTTTTAAATTCGATATTTTTAAAAGTTATATCTAAACAAATTTATGAAAAAATAAAAATAAAAACTGTAGTAATTTTTAAAGATTTCATTCGCTTCTCTACTTGAATAAACAAGAAATTCATTAAGTTTTTCATTCTTTTCAAGTTATTATATTTGAATGAATATATTATATTTTCGATAAGAAAGTCATTCATCAGTTAAATTCTACTATTATGTTTTTATGTAGTTTGTAGACTAACTTTAAATCAATCAGTAAGCAACGTTAATCACAAAACGGCAACTAAATTTTGAATAATCAAAAAATTCTGCACGCGAATCAGTCGAGAGAAACGTTCTAGTCGTTTACTGTAAAGATTCTTGTCTTATACCTGGAAAGTCGTTTTTCTGCATCGTTGAGGAATTAACCAACTGCCCATTACCAATGTATCCTTTTTAAATATATTTAACTATATTATAGATTTATATTACATACTGCTACTGAAACTTAATATAAAATTTGTAATAATATCTTCTCAACGATTGAAAGTTTTTTGGGCAATTTCTAAGTAGTTTTATACTACAGAAATATTTATTAATTTTTTATTATATATTAATTTTATTTTTTATTATAGAAATATTTTATTGGTTACTAAAATGTAAACAAAATCATTTAAGTTTGCTTTATTTTTGCGAAACTTATTTATTCTATTTTTTAAAATTAAGGTTAAATATTTTTCTTCCATTTTTTTTAACAATCCGAATTTATAATTTTCAATTCAAAAATTTTAACATTTGATAAATGATAAAATATGCCATAATTAAGAGAAATTTATAAAATTTTGATAATACTTTTTTCAATTAGTTTTTCTAAAAATCTTTTCTCCCAATTCAATTTTAGCTTATTTCTATAAATGCAGTAAACCAAATGTACCAGAATTCAATTAAATCATTCGTATTAAATTTTAATTCCCTTATGGTTAATAATTAGATTTTTCTCTATAATTTAATGATATAAATCAAAAATAAACAGTAATATTTATTAATTTTGTTTAATGTTTACATAAATAGTTTTTATAATATTGTATGATTATTTGATTCAAAAGTTTCGCAAAAATAAAGCAAACTTAAATTATTTTGTTTCGATTTTAGTAACCAATAAAATATTTCTATAATAAAAAATAAAATTAATA